CAGACTGCACTGCTTACTTCATCTAGGATTAATTCCTGCATTGCAGTTTCCCTTATCCACAGACCTATTTTGCACTCCTGACCTAAAGTCTTGCCTCCTAGTCTTTGTGCCCTGCCAGTTCCAGTTTCTTTCATCTCATAAACCCTCTTGCAATTTTTGTCTCTACTCCTACAACTTCCAGGTTTCTGAACATATCTCATCAATGAGCAGAGCAGTGACTGGAAAGATCCACAGACCCTTCTCTTACCTTACACCCTTACTCCAAAACGAAACCTGAGTCCCCTGCTGGCTCCTTCTAAAGCCTTCTCTCTGTTTTCCCTCTTGGGCCTAATGCAATTAAGCACCACCACACAACAACACACCAGAAGGCAGATGCTCAAGTTGCCCTAAAGAAAGTAAAGCACTCCAGTACACAGCAGAGACATGTCCTTAAACACAGGTAGGCAGGTGCCAGTTCTCAGTCCTAAAGCTCAATCCAGTCCCACTTCTGGAGCAGTTTGGATACACTTTCACAGTGAAGTCCAATCTTTCTCATAACATTTTGGGCTATAGGAAGCCTGCTGAGTACATCTGCCCAGGTGGCACTCCCTGGTCAGTACTAATAAGTAGGTGAGGTCCCATGAGAATAGGCTATATTCAAGTTTTAGCAGACAAAAAAGGGTATCATCTCTATCACAGCCATGTCTACCTAAATTTAGCTGTTATAAGGTTTTGAAAAAAAATCACTTTCAAAGCAGCAGTCAATAAAACATCCCCTTCGGAGCAGACACAATCAGCCAAAGTTTAACTGTATGCTCCAAAGCATAAGGGTTCTTTTTCAGAAAAGAGGCTGGCAGAACTCAAAGCAGAAACAATTGTTTTCCTCTTGCCTCAACATCAGAAGTAGCTGAACTCTTTCAACTGACATTTTGCAAAGAAAAAAAGCTTCAGCCCATAGCAAAATGCACACTTTATAAAATTTCAATTGAAATATTTAAGTTCGTTCTCAATGCCACTGCAAAGCAGAAATACTTCTTAGACACATCTTATAACATCTTTAGTAAGAGCTAGCACAATCAGACCAGTTCACCATTTTCCAGTATTTTTTATGGGCAATTTATATACAATTAATTACACTGATGAATCAGGAATTAGAGTACTGATAGTCAGTTTTATCTTCCCCCCCCACCTCATGTGTTAGACATCACTAATGCATTGCTGTTATGAAAAGTTTTCCCTTAGTCTTCCAAAACAGCTGTCTCCAGTAACATCAACAGCTGAAAATACAGTACATATAGGGAGTGTCAATCAAATTTGTTATTGAGCTCATGTGTGTTTAGCAATCACTAAAGAAAACCATAGAAATATATGAATTTTCAAGGGATTAAAAAAGGTATCATAACATTTAACTCCAAAGCGAAAAAACTCTCCATACCATACTGAAAAGGACTCCATGAAAATGTGATTCTTACACATGAGCCAAAATAGAAATTAAGTCTGCATTGTTTATTTAATGCTACCATTTGACTTAACTATAGGATTACAAGACAAAATTTAAGGACAACCATTTCCTTACAGCTTTTTACTTATACATAGGTTCCCAGGACACACTGTATTTAATAACTCTTATGCAATTAGTGTTAATGGTGCTGTATGCCACAATGGGCCAGGCTGGAGACACACTGGTAGTTAAGGGCATCATCCATAGTAACTTACGCAACTGGTGTTATTTATACTCTGTGCCACAATGGGCAAGGCTGGAGACTTGCTGGTAGTTTAGGACATCAGCCACAAACAGATTTACTTTCAAATGAAGGAAAGCCATGTCTCCCACAGCTGAAATGAGACTGTATTATTAAGAAGTCTATTCTGCTTCATTTCTCTCCCAAGTGACTCCCACACACACACACACATTTTGAACTGACAAGTAAGAACTGGGATGTCAGAACCTGCCATTTACCACAATCATCAGCTTCCCAAGATTTCTTGGAAAAGATTTGTGCTGCAGCAAGAATCACTGCTCTTTAATGTGCCCAGTTCCTGAAATCTATTACCCAAGGAAGGTCAAAGCTGTTAAAGCCTACTTTGCTAAAGGCATGCTGTATTTCAAGTCCTAGCCCTGCCTGAGAAGGCTAAGACCTTGCTTCACAGAAAACAAATGTCACTCACAAAACAGATAAAACTGAACAAAAAGCTGCACTGTCCACTAGCTTGTTTAGCATTCTAACTTCTTGAAAGAACATGCAAACAAAAAACACATTTCCTCTGGCAAGACTACAAGTGCAGCTTGTAGACACAAGGCTGACATAAATAAAGCAAGAACAGCATAGAAAGCAGTCTTAAAGAGAATCCTCCAACCATATGGGTCTTCTGTGAAAATGAACTGGAAGCAAGCTTGACAAGCTGAACAGGCCACAAGAGACGTGATGCCAACTCAAGTGTCTGCAGCAGACTCATGCAATTAACTTGAATAAACAATATCCTGCAACTGTCCCATAAGGCAGCTACATCTGGTTCTTTGCCTGACCTCCACAACTTGTCTTTGGTCCTTGAGTCTCTGAGGAGACTCACTGCAGTCTTTTCAGAGTCCAACATACAGCTCTCCTCCCTCTCATGAAAACAGTGCAGTGAGACAAGATAAACCCTCTTGATTGTCAGTGCGGGAGTTGCACAGATTGTGCAATGGAACAAAAGCAAAAACACAGCCTGGGCTGAGCAGCAAAGACATTCACAGAGCCTGGAGAAAGCCCTGCTTCGCAGAGGTGCTCAAATGCAGACCTGCCTTTAGCACTCTGGCAGTACAACCACATATTAAGAGTTCAGCATCTGCTTAGCTGTGGAAGCTGAAGCCCTGATTCAGTGACATGTGATTTCAGGGGGAGCTGGATCAAGCATTCCAAAACCTGAGTTGATTAACTATTAGATTTTCTTAAGTGCTGACGTTGACTTTGCTATTTCAACTGTGAGCAAGTGGTCATTCCACTCTTACTGTATGCCTCCTCTGCATAACTCAGACCTGTAGGAGAGCTGTTCCTAGACTGGTCAAGACCAAATGGCACTGAAAAGCAAATGAACTGTACCCTAGGGAGATACACAAGAGTTGTAAATCTGTTGATCAGGTAAGTGAATGCTGTCCAAGCCTACTGCATATGGTCAGTATACAGGTCTTCTATTTCTCACCACCCATTACACCATCAAAACATTTCAAGGCTAAAGAAAAGATTAAAGACTGTGTCCAAATTTTCTAAACATAAGGGGCCCCTGACAGAGAAATCAGGCTCCTGTCACACTTTTTAATAACACATTTCACCTTAACCAAAAGGAACAAGACATCCTTGTTCTCTGTAACCTGCGGACTTTAAATCTCTACAATCAGTGGATCATTTCTGAGGTGCCTGTGAAAAGCATCCTCTGAAGAGCAAGTTTGCTCTTACTTTCCTCAACTTCATTGTACACGATTCACATGCCCCATGGGAAGAGAAAACTTAGAGGGCTCTCAAATCAAAACAGCTTGAAGGCTCCTGCCCTAGAATGAGCAGGAAAGCATCGCTTTGGGCAAGATATGTTGTCTCTGAGTGCTCTCTTCCAGTAGCCCAAGCACTGGCTGAGTTACATAACATTTCTACTGCTGTTTTTAAGTTATACAAGAATGTACAATAATCACAGAAATGTTTACAGAAATTCACAGTCATGTTTAATTAAGAGCTATGATGTGTTAGAGAAACAATTAAACAAAAGCCTTCGCTGACTTACTATGAAAATACAGAAGAAACCCAGCCATTCTATTAAAGAGCAAATCTCCAACTTATGAAACTACTGCTTTGCCTCCTTCCTACTTGTATGCAAAGCCTGTTCTATTTCAGAAAAAGAACTGCTGAAGTTTACTAGAAATTATCAATTTTCATGTAGGCTGGAATGGAACATCGCGTGTTGGCTACGAAGGGAGCTGGAGGAGAGCGCAACTTCTCTGAAAACCCAACTAGTCACCACCAAAATCGAACTACTTTCTGAAGTGAAATAAAGGATTATTAAAGAGATAAGCATGTTTTGTAACACCAGGGGTTCTTAAGCACCCAACAATAACCACCACAATTCTCTTCAAGTAAAAGAGTCAACACTAGCTGGTCCACTTCATGAAACAGGTTAATGCAGGTTTTTATCACTTCTTACCACTTATCAACAACTTAATGATGTTGATAAAAATGTATTACTTTATACATGTTATCTAACAAAAAGAAAACCTATACTTACAGCAAAATTGTACCTTTCCAAGAAATGGTAGTTGTTTCAAATTTGAAAAAAAAAAAAAAAGAATTAAAGATGAACCAAGATGTGCTATGGGAGCAGAACCAAATGAGACATTTTTGTGATTAAACTGTCTGCTTAACTACAGACTAATTTTGATACCTAGAGCCACCAGAGAAAAGAAGAGAAAAAAAAAGGGGGTCACTGATTCATGGCTTTTTCGAAATACCTACTGAATACACCACCCCCCCTGGAGCCCGAACCATTCTCTCCACACACAAGTCATGCCACAGCAGCGCTTGGAAAGTCGCATTGTGCGTTTCGAGGGGCTCCGGTGCTTCCCCACTGGAAAGGCGAAGGACAACCAGGCTACCCTGCACCTCGCAGGTGCTCCCACCGCCTGACATGGGGCACCCCAAACGCCCCGGGCGCTGCGGCCACAACTCGGGGCGCCGCCGGCTGGCACAGGACACGCCACACGCCCGAAACGCCGGGTCCCCCCTCCCCACAGCGCTTCTCCCCTTCACTCCCGCGGGCTGGGTCCCATCCCCCGAGCCCCGGGGCTGCCCGCGGCCCCGCGCCGGAGCCTTCGCGGTCTGGCTGCGAACAATGCGCGCCTTTTCTGGCGGAGCCCCCCGCGCTCAGCCCAGCCCGGCCGGCCCCCGCCCGCCGACACCGCCGCATTGTTACCGGCGCTGCCGCCCCCCGCACCGCCCCGCGCCCGGCACGGCCCCGGCCCCGCACACCTGCCCCCCGGGCCCCCTTTGTTCCCTTACCTGCGGCGGGCGAGCCCCGCAGCGCCGGCACGGCGAGCAGCAGCGGCAGCAGCGCGGGCAGCGCCGGCCGCCACCGCGCCGCGGCCACCACGGAGCGTGTCATCCCCTCCATGGCACGGCACGGCCCGGCCCGGCGTCAAGTCATCGCGGCGGCCCCCGCGTCCCCCCCGCGGGGGGCTGGAAGGGCTGGGCGGGCTCGGCGGCTCCTCCCGGGCGCATCCACCGCCGGCGGGGCTGGGACGCCCGCGGACGGGAGGCCGCCGCAGCACCCACCCTTCCCCACGCCCACCCCGTGGGGAGTGTTCACGGGGGCAGCGCCGCGGCGCCTCCCAGGAGCGGCGGGCGGGGGCGAGCGGCGCGGCTCGGCAGGCGGAGGGGCAGCCCCCGCGCTGCGGGGCGGGGGGCTCCGCGACCGGGCGGCTACGGCCCTTCACGTGCGAGGAGACGGCGGCGGCCGGCGGCAGCAGCCCGGACCCGGCAGCCCAGACCCGGCAGCCCGGACCCACCGCCCGGCGCCCGCTCGCTCCCCGCCCGCCAGCGACGCGCTGCCCCGGCGGAGCCCGGCCCGCGGCGACGCGCACAGCCGGGCCGCTCGCCCGCCACCTGCGCGCTCCCGGCCGCGTCCGCGTCTGCGCGGGGGCGCGCCCGGCCCGCCCCCTCCGCCGGGGCGGCGGGCAGCGGAGGGCGGGGCCGAGGGCGCGCCCCCGCGGGAGCCGTGAGGGGCGGGGCGGCGGCAGCTCCGCCCGGCGCCTCCCGCCCGCCTCGTCCCGGGATCGGGGCTGGAAGTGCCGAGGGGCCGGCTGAGTCACCGGTGGCTCCCGGTACCGTCTCTGTGAGCGGGGCGGCCGCAGGACCCGCTGTTTCCTGACTGCGCTGCCCTCATGGCACAGCGAGGTCGGGAGGATGGTGATCCCGTCCCGCAGCCCCCAGGGCAGGCGGAGTGGTGCCTGGGGTCAGCCCCGCCTTCCCACAGGCTGTGCACGGAGTTTGAGAGCTGAAACTGTAATAAAGGTGCCAGCGGGAAAGGCGAAGGCTCAGCAATGAGGACATAGCTGTGTGGCAGAACATCCACGCAGCATTAGCCTTCCTTTGGGGGACAAGGACGGAGGGACTCTTTCACGGAGCTCTTCCCGAGCCCCGCTCTCCTCAGGAGCACGGCTGAGTACAGCAGTGATAAAACTACAGAATATCCTGAGCTGGAAAGGACCCGCAAAACCACCAAAGTCCATCTTCGGGCAGGACAGCTCCAAGAACCTGAGCTCCACGTGCCTGAGACTGTTTGTCCAAATGCTTTTTGAACTCTGTATGACTTTGTGTTGTGACCACTTCCCTGGGGAGCCTGTTCCAGTGTTTAACAACCCACTGGGGGAAGAACCTATTCCTAATATCCAACCTAAACCTCCCCTGAGGTTCATGCCATTCCCTCGGGTCTTGTCACTGATCACCGCAGAGAGATCGGTGTCTGCCCCTCCTCTTCCCCTAGTGAGGAAATTGTAGACTGCAATGAGGTCTCCCCTCAGTCTCCTCCAGGCTGAACAGAGCAAGTGACCTCAGCCACTCCTTGTATGTTTTCCCTTCTAGACCCTTCACAATCTTCATGGCCCTCGTTCGGACGCTTTCTAATAGTTTTACATCCTTCTTACATTGTGTCACTCAAAACTGCACACAAATGTTCAAGGTGAAGCCGCACCAGCACAGAGTAGAGCAGGACAATCATCTCCCTCAGGTGGTCAGAGATGCTGTGTTGGATGCAATCCAGGACACCTTTTGGCTGCCAGGGCACACAGTCACAAGGAGCACCAGTAACAGCTGGGAAAGGTGCCACCACAAATTAGAGCTGTGCTCATGTAGTTTCCAGCTACACTCACAATTAGACTATCAGTTCATCAGGGGACTTTCTTATGCTTTTCTCAGCACGCATCAGTTGCAACAGAAACAAGTTACTCCCAGAGATGTATGGAAAGGGCAAAGGATTCATTTTGCTGACAGAGAAATAAAGCAATAAGTTTTAGCTGGACATCACAGCATAGTATCACTCAGAAAGCAAAGGAAAATAAAGCATGGCCAGTCCTTGGCAGTGGAAACAAGCGAAGCTGAAATCACAACAGCTGAAGCTGTGGCTCAATATAGACACAGTGAGTAAGGGGAGGGCACGAAATCTGACTAACCTAACTGATTTTAGGTTAGACATTTTCAGGGTTAAAAAGTCCATGGATTCCCTCTCTTTTATCAAAGGCAATCACTCTGATGAGTATTTCAGGCCTTCTAGCACAAGACCTACACTTTCATTCTAAAAGTCTCAGTCAGTACAATATAATTTTCTTTCATTTTGTACAGTGGAGCAATGTTTTACAGAACATTTTATGGGTGTTTAGAACCCATATCTTAAAGGTAAACTAAAAACCTAAGCTATAAAATCCCATGAAAAGATGTTAAACATTGCAAGAAGAAGACTACAGCAGGACAAAAAAACCTCACCCCATGTTTTTTGAAACACCTAGCAGAAAACTGAACGCAGAAATACTTGCATAACACGCACTTTTTTTTCTTTTATCTGAGCAAATAAGAAGAAAAATCAAGGCCTGAGGATTGTTTCTGCTGCATTACATTGCTGATAGACAAAAGAATGTCTTTGATGTTCCTTTTAATTTACTAAAACCAGAACCCATTAGGACACAGCTTTTTTCTTTGCTAGTTGCCAGTCCCTGAAAACAGTTCAGCTCAAAAGAGCACTCTAGCCTTTTTTTATGATTACCTACCCACCATTTGTGGATACATGCCATGTCAGGTTCTTCCTTGCTGCCATCTCCCTCAGTTTCTCTTGCCCTTCCCAACCTCTTCTGCAGATCTGCAGTGCAGGCTAAACAATAGCCACAAAAAGTTTAAACCGCCCTACGTTACTCCAACATGCCTTCATTGTAAGCATCAGTGTGCATATATGTTTGGCATTGGGGCGTGCAAGGCACATACTCTTTGAAAAATGTGGTTTTCTTTTTCTTTTAATAAGCTAGCCCTCAGAAGTGTTTAGCAAGTGAACGGGAATCCATCCCTGCTTCAGATTCAGTGGGAGCTTTGGCAGTTAGGACCCTTGAAATACTTAATTACACAACATACTTCAGACCCTATCATCTTCATTGAAAGATACCACATTTCATCATCCTGAGAATGCTTTTAGTAACAGAGCACATAAGGCTGCCTGTAGTACATTTCAGATTGCATGTAGATAATTTGTTTCACCAAGATCCAAAGGTAACTTCCCAGACTAAAGTGTGAGACAACTTCTCTCACATTTCTGAGATGTTATCCATAATGAAATATGCCGTTACTGCTAACTCATTCACTGTCTCAGCTAACACGATTTCCTGCTCCAGTTCCCAGAGTTCAGTTCACGAAAATAATCCTGTCTTGTGTTTGGGTTCTTGTTCCCTAGTTTCTGTGTCTTTTGAGATCAAACTGGTATTTATGTTACTTCCCCACTTCCAGGGCAAATTTAAGAACTGTCACATTCGATCACATATTCTCTATTCCCCTGCAATTTTACACATTCCACCAGACACCTCTAAATAAAAGTTCCATTGTTAAATAACAACTGGCATTGAAAGAGGAACTGTGAGGCAGCTACCTGTTATGCTACAGTTCACCCTCTGCTTTAGTCTGTTGTCTCCCAGAAGGTGTGAAAGAATTTCCCTACTCTCATATGACCCTCTGTCCTGCTTAGCCTCCTCTTTCACTGGAGCCATATTCAGGGCAATGCTTTTGCAGCTGTGGCTCCTACTCCTCTTAGCAATTACATTAACTTTAGTATCTTTGTACTGTTGTTTAGATTCTTTGAGTTTTTGCATTCTTTCTAGTCCCCATTTTTCCTGGAAAGCTACACTGTTTGTGTCAATCTGGCTGACATTTACTTCGTCCATTTGTCTTGAACCAGGATAGGAGTTATCCATATGAATTATCTTTGTGGTAGCTGATTCCCACCAATTTAAGACCAACTACAGGGTTTTTCTCCATCTTCCATTTATGTAGCCTTCAGCTATTTTTTCAGTGTACTTCTCATTTACAAGAAGGTCCTGTTTTCCTCTGTACAGCAAGAATTGTAACAAAAGACATGTTCTTTTGGTTACAGCTTCAAGCCTGTACTTCTGTTTGTGCATTCCTCAGGACTTCTTCCAGCTGTGTCAGTGCATCCTTACCACCTTCTCTCTGTTGTTTTTCACCTGTTACAGATGTAGATAAAAAGTGCTACAGAATAACCAGCAAGAACTTCCCACACATACCCTTGGTCAGATAACATGCTGGAATTTGTGGTGGAGATTACGTTTTTGCTTTCCCTTTGGAACAGCAAAAAACCCCCAAACACCTTACATGCTTCTAGGAAGTACCTTAAGAATGCCAGTTAATTATATCAATATAAACAAAACAAAACAAACAAAACCCTAAAGATCTATAGAAGGCTTCAGATTCCACTAAAACAAAACTATAACAGATTTTGCTAGGATATGAACACAGGGCAGAAATCCTGGAATCTTGCAAAATCATAAAGTGAAACTAGCTATAATTTTAACTAAGTTTTACTCTACAGCTTGCAAAAGAGTTCACTACAAGAAGTAACTGATTTGGAGGGTGAGAAATTCTCTTCCCTATGGAAGCACATGGATCCTGCTGCGATCCATGGTGCTATGGAATAAGAAATGAGACATCCTGCTTAAGGAGAGAGTTGAAGTAATCTTTCCTAACAGTGTGACTTGCAAGGGTTATTTACTTACTGCTGAATGACTTCCCATTGCACATACACCAGGAAGCTTTTGACATTACTGTGCTTTCCACTACAGCGACGGCTACTCTGATTTATTACTGGGTCAAGGCTGAGGATGCAAAAAAATCAAAGGCTGTGTAAAGTATGATTAGATTTATGATGACAGGCTTCACCTGGAAACTGAGAGTTTGCTTTGTGAAGGATGCAAGGGGGGAAACCTGCACAACATTGTAGATAGGAACCTCTCAAGTGAGCACACACGCACACACAGAGGGGCATTTGGAAGCTGAAACCTCAGCAGCGAAAACCTGCATCCACATTGCAATGACAGAAACAAGAGCGTCCTCAAAAGGCCCTCTGTGGAAGTGCTCACTTCTTCTAGTTGCCCAGGTTTTTCCCGAAGAAAATATCTGAAATTAGACCCTCTTGCCAACCTCGATGCACTTTCCAATCACCTTGCGTTTTGTGGCAAATGTAATACCCAAATCCAGAAACATGATTCTCAAAATTGCACATCAGAACCCTGGTTCAGAGACAATGGAGTGAATCAGAAACCATCAACATTATTTTCAGTGGATCCAGACAACTGCACAGTAATTTAACTTTCAGTTATTACTAGTTTGGGACTCACTGACCAGAAATACTGCTAATATATTTTTCTTCTGTGAACAATATTTGTGTTAAAAAACAACTGGTTTTTTTTTCTCCTGCTCTTTTGCTGCTGCTGAAATTTGTGAAGAAATACATTTTTGTCAATGTTTCCAGTTGACTGACATACCCCTTGAGAGAAATGTTTGAGGGCAGCGTTCTAGCCTGGCTTTGTGAAGACCTTCAGACAATTTGTTGGGCTATTCCCAGTGCTCTCAGATGACTAGTTTTGCTGAAAGGCTCGTTATCTCCTTGCAAATATCTTGGGCTATCTATTTAATTAAGTTCCTGGACCTTTGGCTTTGGGTCTGCAACAAATGTCTCTGATATACAGCTTCATACTACTCCTCCTAAGAATGGTTACTCTGATTGCCTCCTCTGGCTCCCTCACTTTCACAACCTGCCAAAACCTTTTACCTCAAATTCCTGTCTCTTCAGTTCTTCTGAGGCGACATCAGAACAAATGGGCTTGGTGTTCCTCCACTAAAGAGGTGTGTGGGTCTCTGAACCGTTGATCTCTTTTCCTTCATATCTGCAAACAATCTTGACTTTAACTATCCCATTTTGTTCAAAATCTATCATTTTATAACAGACATACCATATTCAGAAATTATTGCGCCGCAGATACATTTTGCTCTCTCAAACTATCCTTCATTCTTATTCACTGAGCAACCAAAAATAATTCCATCTCCACTTAGCTAACTTACCATACTAAAAATAATACTATAAAAATGCTATAGCACTGTTCATACCAGCAATTAGATTGTTTCTCTTTGTTATGGAATGACACACCAAAAATAAAGAGCAACTCTTGTTTGCGTAGTTTTGGAACTTAAGGAAAGTAATTTTCAAGTACAGTGAATTTACTATAAAATATCCCTGGTAATCTCCTTTTAAACAGAGTGCTCACTGAAAAGGTCACTTACACATACATCTGTTAAACTCCTCCCACGAAACAGAATCAACAAACCTTCCTGCCACTTTATGCAATGTCAATAAATACTTCCAAAAAATACCCAGATCTTGCAAAATCTTCCCCCACATCTGTTTCTAGTCATCACTTCATAATTCAGGGTACATCTCCCATCCCATTCCAGAAACCATTTGGACTTTATATAAAAAGATAAGGCTTCCTCCTGTCCGGCCCAGATACAGTTTATAGCAAAAATTACTCAAATGCTCTCCTAAATTATATAATGAACAAGGCAGATCAGTAAGTTTTGCCAGTCAAGGATCAGTGTTTTTTGGAAAGTAAGATCAATCAGTAGATGCTTTGCCAGATTTTAGCAAGAACAGCTGGAAGGTACACTTTCAAAACCTTGTCCATGACATTACCCTCTAGTGAGCTTTTGCTCCTGCTGACAGATGCTAGTAGCTTGATCTTCCTGAGAGAAATGTTTTAACAGCCCTTTTCCCTTCCCTCAAATCTACTTTTGTTTCCTACTGCTAATGGTTTCTCGTCCCTCTAGAAGTTACAACCCCAGGCTCCCTCCCATTCAATAGCTGTCACAAAATACCTACACTTCTGTTCTTTATTCTTTTTTCTTCATTCACATTCATATTCCTGCAGTCTTCCTGCCTTTATGTCACCCTAAAGACCTTTTCTCCCCATGTTGCTTCCCCATCTTTCAGTGAAATGTCACCATCCAAACCTTTGGAAAGCAAAAAACTTACGTTATGTTACTATACTTGAGGCCCAAATTCTGTGATTCCTAAACCATGTTTCACATTATTTGCTTCAACCAGCATTGTCCCCCACTGAACACCCTTGTCTAGCATTGAACATTGCAGTCAGAGGGGTGTGCAACTCCTTGTTACTTTCATTACTTTTTTTCTTTTCCAAAAGCAGAGCTTACAAACCCTGCCTGCAAATCAAGACCCCTTTGTATCAAATTCAACAGACACAGAGCAAAGTGAGCCAGAAAAGATGGTCCTTGTCTCTCTCTATTAAACAGCCAGAATACAAATCCCAGTTTTGGAGCCAGCTCATTCAGCTTTGCCTCAGGGATATTTGCACCATGGCGTGTCACAGCGCAGCTGTGCCCTAAGTAAATTTTAAAAAACCATTGTACAGACTTGTGACAGGCAGACATAATAGAGAGGCATAAAACACTTGAAAAGCCTTAACCGTCAAGAAAGAGAAGAGCTTGTTAAGGACAATGTTTGAAAGAGAAATAATTTAATCCAAAAAAAGGCAAACCTGAGTCAGAACCTCCGGATAAAATTTCTGGCAGTGGATACACCGGCATGGAAATCACCCTCCAAGAACAGCGACAAAACCCTTGGAATTTTAAGGCTTAAGTAGACTGGGCACAGAGCAGAGTTCAGGGAACAACATTAGATGCCATGAAAGGCTTACTCTGCTGCTAAATTCAGTGACAGAGAAATGAGCTGAAAGCTCTGGTGTTACTAAGGTACCTCTTATTCACAGCTCAACTGTCTTTCACTGTCTTCAACATTCATTACAGGTTGCTGATGTGGTGTTTTCTTCTGTACTCTGATACGGATTTTAAGCTGGAAAACACTGGGAACAAGATTGAATTACTGACACAGATACATGAATTGGTTATTTGATATTGTCAGATTTTATGTTCATCACAGAAATCATTAAAATTATTTCCCTTCCTTCAAAATTGGGAGGAAAGACACAGGCAAATGTGAAATTGCCTCTAAACCCCACAGAGGCATTAGTGACATGGGCATTCACCTCAGCAGCCCAGCAAGTCATGTGGCTGGCACGTGCTCCTGAGCAGCCAAGCCTTCAATAAAGATAAAAGCATCACTAAGTGCAGTCTTCCTTCTCAGGTGCCACAGCAGCAGGCATTACCCAGACTGAGGTCAAAGCACTAGAATAATTAGCCTGAGTCCGTGGTGGGCCAGTATCTGTCTGCTGTGATGACTTTACTGGAGTGGAGCTGCATTGCCAAAAGCCGCCTCTAAAACTGACCTCTGTAAATGCTCGTTCTAAATACTGAGGCTGAGTCTCAAGAGTGAACACAGGGCAAAAATAAAGACCAAGAAGTTAAGACAAAGGAGGATTTAGGACACCTCTCCTGATAACTTTTCTGCTGAGCTAGGGGAAAGCCACAGGACAGAGTAATCTTGTCCCATGGAAGAAGTTAAAAAGGCACGAGCCGCAGCTGCTGCTGACGTGTGGTCAGGAGAGCTACTGGAGCGAGCAGCTGCAATTTGAGACGAAACTCTTTCCTTCTCCAGTTCTTTTCAGTCATATTTTATGCAACGTTAAATTAAGGTCAGATAAAGGACATGTTAGTAGTGTCCTTGCCAGTGAAAACCACAAGTTCACTGTTAAATTATGTTTATTTACTTAGTGTTTGATAAAAAGAGTTTCCCTTTGAAAGTCCATTTGAAGAACCTGTAAGGCTGAAAACAACATTTGGACACAGCTCTGAAGAGTTAATGGAAGTTCTCTGTGCTCTGTCTGAAACCAGTTGGGGTTCCCTTTTAGCACATTAGTTGAATGTATACACTGGGAATATTTTTCTTTGTTTTATGTTATTGCAATTTGCAAAACTTACACTAATAGCCCAATTTCATGCAATTATCTGAATGCAAAACATCGTTCGGTTGAATTCCCATAACCTAATCCTACTAGTTCCCTTGGCTGTCTCACTTTCAGTTATGAACCAAGGTCTGCACATCAGATGAAATGCTGTTATTGTAAAAATGGATCCTTTCTTTAGAAGTTTTTTTCAGTGGTCTTCTGCCATACAGGCTGTTTTCATTGTCTGCAACCAAAGGCACTTTAAGGAAATCTGATTTTAACATCACAGGCCTGCAATACATATACTTTAGCTAGAGTGGTTTGTTGTGTTTTTGTGGTAATGACCCAGTGATGTTTGCACCATAATTGTACCTCTAAATGTCTCTTGAGCTGCACATATAGGGCAAAGTGTGGATTTATGAATACACAGGGGAAGGGGAAGAAAAGAGGAAGGCCATACAGAGAATTACATCCTTTTTTTCCTTACATATATAACACAGCTAACACAGTTTTGGAAGGCAGGCAATGGATGATGTTAACACTACATTAACGCCTACTTGGTGTTCAAATCTGAGCATTCAGATATCATAAGGCTGGCTAAGGGATCGTACATATCTGGTTTAGTATTTGCTTTTCCCTTTTTGGGACCTTTACAGTTTGTATCTTCAAGTTTTACTGCACAATCTAAGAAAAAAAAATGAGCTTTTTTTTCTTTTTATGTGAAGTCCAAGCTTTTATTAAATCACATGACTCCAGGACCTAGGACTTCAAGAAAAATACCAAAGAAGCTGAGACTTATAAGAGTCTATGTCCTATGGTCCCCAAATCAAGTTAAAGAATTAACCCAGCCAAGTGACCTGCCTTTCTGGAAGGAAAATGTACATCTTGAAAAATGTGGATAACATCATACTGTGGAGTATACTTCCTTGAAGCTTTGGAAGGTTTGACGTCGGCTCTACTACATCCCTTTCTTCCTGTTCCTCTGAAATACCGATCCTGCATTTCCTCATTTGTATTCAATTTACTGTATCCTTGATTGATTACAGACCTCTCCTTTTGGGGAGGAGGAAACCATTCTTACATCCACTTTGGAGAGAACTTGCATTCCCTGACTCAACCAAGACATATGTAATAGATCCTTTCTAACTGAAGTTACACGCATATATTTCTTTGAAACTCAGTCTCTAAGCTCCATTCCTTTGCTTTGAATGCAAAGAAATGATATTAATTTCCTTATGAGGTAGGACAGACATCAGCCTCTGGCCTTGCCTCTCTCCTTTGTCTATAGAGGAAGGCTTCGATAACGAGGGCTTTTCTTGTGGATCAATAATGTTACATGAAATCAATCTCAACCTTGATGTCACATTTTGGATACCCATAAATCAAAATAGTAAAATTAAATTCTTTTTTTCATTTTCACTGCCTTAAATATCTTCCATCTTTTTTTGTCCTATAGAAACAGCTGCCTCTCCAGGCAGTGAAATTTCTGTTCCTTATAAAAGCTACACATTTATCTGACATCATTATTCAGGTCTCCAAATGACCTTCATCAAAGAAGAGGAACTGGAGACATGATATTTTGGTTATTAAAGGGTGAAAAATAAGCAGAGGAGGGGAGGAAAAAAAACAAGTAAGATTTTAAAAAGTAGAATAAGAAAGAAAAACCACTGCTTTTACCATTGCATTTCACCTTTTACACACTAATTAAAGAGTCACACACCCAGATAAACACACCTAGATACCCCATTACTAGTTATCTTTAAGGAATACTTCAGATAGTAAGGCAGGATTCTCCCATCCTATTTTGGCTGGCATGCTCTATATTAGCCCTTTCTCACTGAGCCTGCAAACATGGCCATTGTGGCACTTTCCTTATACAATATTTTATTTGTGAAATTACTGTTAGCCCAAAAGAATGTCTTGGGGAAAGTAAATTTCATTTTGTGCTCTATGCTAGCCACCTCCATCGCAAATGCCAAAGAATAAAAAAAAAAAATATAGATCAGCTCTCTAAGGATCCTTTAATTTTCTTCATCTGCTTTGTTAGAACTGCCACAGTTGCGTGCTCCTCGCAGAGCATCAGACAGACACGTGTAACATCTCCACTCCCTTGCACAGAGAATCACTCACAAAGCTGGTTTCCTATCATTAAGCCACTCTAAGAAGTAACTGAATGTGATGCAGGCCTCAGCAATTATTTAACATCATGAACAGACAGAAACAAGTGGACTGGCTGCCTTGATGCTGCAGCACTCCATCCTCACATGACTGTCTGGAAATTCTGCTGCCCCGAGTCTCTGGTTTCTAGTGAATGTGTAGTAATGCCTCAGCCTCTTGCTCGGGGATGCCTTTCACAGGCATGGAACTGTATAATACCCATTCCAGCATTTATCTGTTACATGCACTGCTGGCACAGAAGTTTGCGTTGGAACTGGCAAGGTTATTAATTACTATTCTGATTTAACCCTGCTCTGTCTTTTGCACCTTTGCAACAGCCATTTATATATATATACACACATATATATACATATATATATGTGCATATACACACACACATGCATTAATATATATATACATCCGTATATATACATGCATACATACATCTATAAATATACAAGCATTTGATGCTCTATTTTTGGAGCAGAAATCAATACTAGCTGCCCACTGCCAAGTGGCTCCTCAGAATGTGTGGCCACGAAATTCTGCATTAATAAACACCTGTACATGGGACACAGAGAAGGAAAAGGAAAAAATGTTCAAATGAAGGCATCTTTCCATTTCCTGCTTGCAAAGCACTGTATAAACAGAAAATTGGAAGAGATCAAAATCCACATTCTTAGAGCTTCTTGTGTATCACATATTGTACTTCATTATACATTTTTCAAAAGGCTCCACCTACTCTTTGAGACTAGAAATCTTTTAATAGCATGAAGTTAGTCAATCTTTCTTTCATTAATATTCATATATATGCCCTAGTTCTTACATTTAAATCCACTAATGAAGATTCACTGCTGCTGCAGTCGAATGCTGTGCAGGACTGGGACCCTTTTGTGCTGGCAGCCCCTGTGGAGCACTGAACTATGCAGTGGGCAAAAAGCACTAAACATCATTAAACAGCAGCCACTTCACCTGCTTTCTGCTCCCTTAGCCCTTCTGCTAATTCCTTGGACATCTTCAGCGCAGTCTCAGTCAATGGGGGTTATGTTTCCATTGCAGTGATGTGAGAGATAGGCACAAACTTGGGATGTCCCTGTCCTCTGTGTTGCAAAAGACATTTTTAATAACCTTTGCCAGGTTATTCAATCTTTTCATCTTTTGCATTGTAAAATGTTCCCCGTTTTATGAAAAGGAGACAATAGTGCTTCTCTTCTTCCCAAGGATTTCTTACAACCATACACCTTCTGGTTTCCATTTAGAACTAACTCTATCCCTTTATGCAGCACCACACTGTGATGTGTAAACTTAGCCTGGAACAGAGTCTGAAGGCAGAAGAGACCATTATGATCATCTAGGATTTTTCTCAGGGATTCTTGCATGAGGCTCCACGGTTTCAGTTGCCAAGGAAACAATTATCAATCTTTTCCATCCCTCACCATCCTTATCCCTCCTTTTCATTTTGCTGTTTCTTGCTATAACAAAAAGACCTTGTCAAATGTCCTAGTCCCTAGCTCTTGCATGCTCACTTCCACCCCAAAGAAAGAATAGGAAAGGGTGGCAAGGATCCTTGGCTGGGAGTTCAATCTGAAGCTTACCTCTTATCCTTAGATTTTGTGCTGCGGGTGGACAGGCCTTTGAAAATGATCCTTTTAGCTGCAGATAGTTTATCAAATGCTCTATTGTTTGACTAACATGAGACATTATATTTTAGATTAACCAGCAGTGTACCACTTAATACATTTTTGATATTTTTCCTTTTATCACAGCTTTAGCTCCACTACAGCCTCATGCAGAATTGCTTTGGGAAAAAAAAAAAGCACACTTTATTACAACATGCAGCTGAAGGGCAAAAGCAATAATGAGGAAAAGAAAGGAAGATGCAAAGAGATGGGAAACCATGTTGGAGGAAGATAGAAGGCAAAAACTCTGCAACAACTAGAGAATAAATTAGATGTAGTCAGAGCCAGAGATAAAATTTTTGAGTCTCGGGAGGCTAAACTTGGGTACCTTCAGGCAAGTTACAGAATATCTGCATGGTCCCCTAAGGTCTAATCAGTCCTACCTGTAGAGTTCATAGCTTCTGAAAGTTGCACTGATTTTATGCCATTAAATACAGCTATAGGATAGAAGGGTGTCTCACCAATGTAATTTGAAAGGTACTCCCCTCAAATTCAGTGGAATTACATCAGTGTAATCAGTTCCTCAGTGTGCACAGGAGGAAGGATGAAAGCAGCAACTGCAGGAAGGGATAGAAAAACCACATACTCACAGAAAGCTTATGGGCAAGAGGGCTGCCATTTGGCCTGTTTTGATGATTCACCACTTAGGGCAATTGTCATGCTTTTATAAGTAGCCTAACAACAGCTCACATAAAGGAAAACAAACTTATAATGCAAATCTCTTTGGAACATCAGATAACCAAGAAAAAGTCAGATATGTAGAAACTGAAACATTCCTCAGAGTACGCTTCTAGGGAGAGAGAAACAAGTAGACCACATTAATAAGACAACTGTTGCTTACGGTCAGGGAGTGATGCTTCAGCCCTTCCTCTTCTGGACACTCAGTTTTGGAGCTTGCTGAGGGGTTTTTTATTCTCTGTGTGTATGGAGACATAACAGGATGGTTCTGAGGATGGCCAAACCATGTGTGTGTACACAGAAGGTGTTATGTCAAACACACACCACTGTGGAAATGCTCAGCATATGTCCAACGGATCTGGCACCAGAGCCATTGTGCCTCTGCTGGGACCTCCATGGACCAACCCCTCAGGATAGGGCTCACTATCAGCCTGGGAAATCTAGATGTTTTGGCCATTTGGGTCCATTTGTGTAAGGCATTGCACCTAAATGTAGCCCAGAAAGATGCACCATACCAAAATCCCTGGATTTTTTTTCTGCAGAAATCACTTGCCAATCGTTTAGGGTGCTTGTAACAGAAGTAGTAAGAAAAAAATCTGTGTGTGAAAAACGATGAAGAAGACAAGTTATTTTTATGAATGTCAACAATATCTCAGTTTTCCTGTTGGCTATTTTCCTGTCAGGCTGTACAGAATAATGTCAGAGACGAGCAAATAGGAAAACAACAGTGACAATACAGCAATACCGTTTCAAACATCACAGAGCTATTACAGTAGTGTACTGGGGAATACACCTTCAGGCAGGCGAGTGTTAATTTCTCCCAAGTCCAGGGAGAATAAAGAAGACATTGAACTGCTGAAAACCACAGCTAGACAAAGAGGAATGGATGAACAGCAGTGTTGAGATGAGTCAGAAAAAGCCAGTCTTTAAGAGAGAGTTGGGTTTGGCACTTGACCTCAAACAGGTGTGTTTATGCTCTGTGGAAACGATTGAAACAAATGTGTTTTCTAGTAAGACTTATGTACAAATGCTCTCTCTTTGTTTCATCTCGTGTTTCGTCTGATTTTTTTTGGCAGGAGAAACATCTTTTCTGTAAAGAAAAGATATTCTTGAGCCCCCTGGATCAGCTGCTGGCCTGAAATACTTTGGGTCAGTGCAGTACACAGCAGGCACTGCTGGCTTCTCTATTCACATGTTGACTGCTGGATTCAACTACCCCAGAGAAGACTTATGTGGAGGGAAAAAAAATCCCTGGCTGGCAGTGACATGAGATGACTTAGTGTGCCAGCTGCCTCCCAAGCCTCTGCTTCCTCCCCTCGGCAGTGGTACACAGTTTTCTCATACAAGAAAAGCAATTCCCTAACAACAAACCAAACCAAACAAACAACCAAGAAAAAACTCCCAACAAACAGGTAAACCTGAGAAGGGTACTGTCACTTGACCTCACTGCTTCTCCCACTGGGCTGTGCTGCATAGTTCCCAGGCAACCGCTCTCCTGCTGCTACCTGCTCCTGCCAGGCTGATGGCAGGGAAGAGGGTATCAGTTTGCAAAAAAAGTGATCCTACTCCACAGAGAAACAGCACAATCTTCCCTTATGGCAGACCTGAGCATATTAATCAAGCAAATGGCATGAGGAGGCAGAACCTGAAGGCTCTCTCTTCTGCTGTGCTCATGGGCTTTGAACTACTCAACTGCTGTTCACACTATAAGACAGTGGGACTGCACTCCACTTGGTAGTGGGATGCATGCAGCAGTGTCTTCTCCACAGCCCTGGCTAGAGATGTACTGGGGAGGAAAAGGCTCTCTGTTGCTTAGGAAGATTAGGAGGGGGTCAGAGAGGGTCCTGATCATGGAGATCTTGTGTCCTGGAGCTTGCCTTTGGTCTAAGACAGACCTTTTATGCACTCAGGATCAAAAATAGCCCATTTCACTAAATCTCTTCTAAGATCTTGAATGTTTCAGACTCATCACCACCACCCACTATGCCAAAACTTCCCCATCTACTCCCACTCACATCTTCCAGCTTTCTAAGACTAAGTAGCCCTTTGCTGTCAGACCATGCCTGATCACTCTGCGTGACTGATTGCATCACTGTCTTCTGTCCTGCTATCCATTGCCAACCCCTGCTGTTAGCAACAGTGATTTCATGTTCATTTAGATTATAGATTAAATTGTTACATCAGTGGATCAGACAGCTTCCAGCATTGCCCTAATCTGCATGAGCCTCTCCCGGACTTCTCGCTGGCTCTTTGAGGTTTGTCATTTGGTCTCCTCTTGGTGCTGTTCACACAAGCTGTATTGATATTGCACAGTGTTCATTTTTAGACTCAAAATGCAGGGTGCTACTGACTCATATGCCCAACACAGTTTCTCATACATTATTACTATGCAGTTATCTTTGTCAACCAAATATACAGTTTCATCAAAGCACAAAAATCAGCTTTGTTTGGCAAGTTTGCTTATAGTTACCATAAAACTGTTTCAGTGGCATTAATTATATTCTTTCACTTAGTTCTTCCTTGACTGAATTCCATACCAACTTCCCTTTATTTTCCCAGGAACTGAGCTAAACCTAGTCAGCCTCCGATTACTGGAGTCATTCCCTGGGGCAAAATTAATACTAGTCCTTTTGCCCTGTTCTTTGCCTTTAATGTGCCCTGACCCCACCTTGCTCTGAGTGTCCCTGCCCTGCCTTTCTTCACAGAGTAGCATGTCCTCTTTTTCTCCTGGAGAGGCTTAGGGGAAGGGATTGAGGCTTCTTCCTCTACCTTGCAGAGCACTGGAGAGCTATTGCCTGGATGAAACTCTGGGTTCTGGGAGGGCAGAGAGTAAAAGAGAGTGCTGTGGGGATCTGCATGCCCACAGTACCACCTCAGTACCCCACAACACGTTGGTCTGTCCCAGAGACAGCCCCTGGTCACAAGAGGGACCAAACTGCCCAAGAGAAGAGGGATGAGTGAGTAAGAGCAGAGCTGGAAAGTTCTCCTGCTCCTGCTTACACTGCTCTTAACCTTTGTCCAAAAGTTTTAACAGTACTGCCATGACTGATGATACCATAATATCATCCTTCTGGTTGTTATCAGCAGCGAGGTTCAAATGATATCATTCCTCCTTACCCGCAGGCATATTCCAAAGTCTGCTGGAGTCCTTTTATTAGCATAAATTAGCATGAGATCAGAGTTTATGATTGCATTTCCCTGGAGGTGTTAAAGCTGCTTCCACTCCTTCTCTTCCTTTTTTGGGATACTTAGCATGATCAGAGGGTCTCCTCTGCAGGAGAGCAGTAGCAGTTGCATTTGCATCTCCAGAGGACTTACAGGGTTTCTTCCCACTCGCCAGGCCCCTTTCACACAGCATGCAGTTGCAGAGCCACTGGTGTGGCTCCTGTCCACCAAGCCAGATTCTGTAATTGCAGGATTCACCAGAGAATTAAAATAGATTTTTTCCCACAAGTCCTTAAAGAAATCAGTGCTTACTCAGCAGGAAACAGACTCAAGATCATATAGCTGTCCTGCAGGGGTTACCTGTCATATAAGCCTGTGTAAAGAGGATATGCCAGGCCGCAGAGAGTGCAGGAGAAACACACACTGCGCAGTACAGAGGGTTGATGCAGCAGAGTCGGTTTCAGATGATGATTAGTGTATTCAGCATTGTACTTCAAGTGCCATTTGCTGGGAAAACCGATTAATAAATGGAGACAAAGGCCATAATAAACTAAAGAGCAACTGCTTCACAGTTCAGAGAGTAAATACAGTGCCCTGGGCAGGGAAGCAAGATGGCTCAGTAACAGAGAGCTTGGCACAGACCAGTTCAAACCGTTGATAACTCTGCTTATTACAAAGAAAAAAATAAGGATGATGGGAGAAAATAAAGAAAATAAAGAAGAAGAAAAGTGAGAGAGAAGGCAGCCAGAGAAAGCTGGGCTTTAGAGTAAGTGTGTGCATTACCCTCTGACCCTGTCTGCCTATAGTTAGAGAGCAAGGAGGCACATACCTTACTAAAAATCTCTTGAAGAATCCAGATCCTTTCTCTGTAACCTTCACTTGTAGTGAAGTAAGGTCATATATGGTTCTGAAAAAATTTCTAAAAATTTATATTAAACATCAGAAGTAATAAAACATTATGAAAGGAACACAAGCATTGTTTCCAGTGTAAACTGCAGGTGGTTTACTTCTCAGAAAGTGCTTATCAGTTACGCTTTTGCTGCAAAGCAGATCATTGGCTTCTCAAGTGTTTGCACATAGCTCAAAACTTGAAGCATTTCTTGGTGAAAGACCTGTCTTCTTTGAAAATTCTGAAAGTGGTAATGAGGAAAAAAAACCAAAACAGACACCTTTCTCCACTCAGTTTTTTTTTCTCATGGAGATGAAATCAGGATGCTGTCTTTGCAGCTGAGGTGAAATATACTGGAGAAGGGAGGTAGGAAAAAAAATACCAAGCAATCCAAATAGTTCCTCACCTTCCTCAGGAGTCATATTCTTCATCTTCATTACTGTAGCCAGGAGCCTTTTGAGAGCAATGGATTTAAGAAGCCGGGGACTTCCATTTCTCGTGAAAGGAAGGGCAACTGAAATGGATGAATGGGACTCCATGACCTTTTGCCATCCAGATTTTGCATTCAGATAGTTCCATCACTTTGCTGGGAATCTCACAATCAATGGTTCCAGCATTAGATGTATCAGAGCTGTTATTATTTGATATCCAACTGAGGTATTATAATATCCTCTGCGAGGGCACAGCGCTGTTCCCTGTGATCAAAAGCAAGCCCTATGATCAAAGGTATGCGTTTGAGGATCTTTGACTCCTTCTAGAGAAAAGCACCGGTGATATCCTTACTTGAGTGCTGAATGAATATTCTGCTCGCTCTTGCTTTACCTTTAGTGCCAACTAGTTTTTGCCTGGAATCTGTGAGTGCTTTTTTTTTTGTAATTGCCTGTATGTTCTCTGAATTCTTCTGGTACCTCTGTCTCAAGGCACCTGAATTAATAGTGTCTCTCACAACATTTCCCAGCTCTATCGGGTTCAGTGGGGATGGAGTCGATTTTCTTCACAGCAGCCCATATAGCCCAATGTTTTGGATTTGTGTCCAAAACAGTGCTGATAATACAGAAGTGGTTTAGCTATTGCTGGGCAGTGCTTGCACAGGGTCAAGGCCTTCCCTGTTTCTCCCTCTGCACCCTGAGCGAGTAGGCTGGAGGTGGACAAGAGGCTGGGGTGGGACAGCTGACCCAGGCTGACCAAAAGGATGTTCCATACCATATAACGTCACTTTCGGCAATAAAAACTGGGGAAGGGGGAAATTCCAAAAGTAGTTGCTCAGGGACTGGCTGAGGTTCGCTCTGCTGGTAGGAGGTGGTGAGTAACCTTGCGTCACTCGTAGGTTTTCTTCTTTGCTGTCTTAACTTCAACCCAGCTTTCTTTCACCCCTGTGTTGTTGAGTATTTATTTCGACCGCGCTCAGCACTGAAAGCTGCCACCTACCACCCACCCGCTTTGTTTCGTACGGACGTACAGCAGCTTGTAACAGCACGCTGGCCAAGACTAGCTTTCCAGTGCCACCCGATTGCAGCTAAATAGCAGGAACAAGACAGGATTTTCAAATCCCTTCCCCTCCTGGTACCGACAGCGCGCACCTTTCCCTCACGCCTGCAGCACAGCCGGGCCGAGCGGAGCGGCGGAGGCCGCGGGTGCCCTCTGGCGGCAGGCGGGGCCCTCCGCCTTCCTCCTCGGGGCCCTCCGCCTTCCTCCTCGGGGCCCTCCGCCTTCCTCCGCGGGGCCCTCCGCCTTCCTCCTCGGGGCCCTCCGCCTTCCTCCGCGGGGCCCTCCGCCTTCCTCCGCGGGGCCCGGCGTCGGCCGGCAGGTTCCACTGTTAACAGCATCCCCATGGAACTGCCTTGTGCACGCTCCACTTTGGAGACCACTGCTCCGTAGGCTGAACGGAAACAAATCTGATGGCGAGAGGACCTGGTTTTTTTGTTTGTTTGTTTTGTTTTGTTTTGTTTTGTTTTTTTGTGCACACCCTTAGGACAACCCCAGTCTTCTGTGCTTTGGTTAGAGCTGCAGAAACTCACAGCTTCTGAAATTCCCTCTTTCACATCGATTTCCTGCTCCACTTCGACCCCTTGCCTGCTTCCCACTCAGCCGTGTTTCATTTCCCCTCGTATCTGGTCTCAAAGCATTTCATCGCCTTTATTCACCTTTCCTAGTAATACTAGACCTGCCAGAATCACAGAATCAATTAGGTTTTGAAAGACCTCTGAGATCATCAAGTCCAACCTATGATGGAACGCCACCATATCAACCAGACCATGGCTCCCACTGCACATCCAGGCTTTCCTTAAACACCTCCAGGGATGGTGACTCTGCCACCTCCTTGGGCAGCCCATTCCAATGTCTAATCAGCCTTCTGTGAAGAAATTCCTCCTAATGTCCAACCTAAACCTCCTCTGGTGCAGCTAAAGTCTATGTCCTCTTGTCCTGTCGCTGGTTGCCTGGGAGAAGAGACTGACACCCACCTGGCTACAGCCTCCTTTCAGGTTGTTGTAGAGATTGATAAAGTCACCCCTGAGGCTCCAGGCTCAACCCCAGCTCCCTCAGCTGCTCCTCATAATCTTGTCATGGGAGACTGTGTCTCCCATGTTGTGTCTCCAAGCTGTGTCCAGGCCTTGCCTCCCTGCAAACATCATTCCTGGTATTATTTTAAAGCCTTAAAAACCCCATACCCAACATAATGGGATTTGCTTTTCCCGTCACTCTCCACTGCCCACCTAAGCTCCTTGCAGGCCACAGCCCCCTCCCTGTGCCTCTGGGGTCAACACCACATTAAGGGAAAATAAAGGGGCTGAGAGGAGAAGCGAGGAAACAGGATCATGCAGGACAGCAGTCATTTAAAAAAAAGAGGGTGGGGTATTTTGAACCCAGGAAAGAAGGGATAAGGAGGCAGATGTGACCAGCACGCTGATACAGGGGAGAGCAGAGCTCTGACATCTGCTTCTCCACTTCATAAAGAACAGGGTACAGGACAGACAACCTGGCACATGCAGGTGAAGTATGGTTGAACCTCTATTGATGCCTCCTGTGGTCCTCTTCCAGGCCTGCCTTTGTTATTCTTATGCCTCCTATTCTGTAAATTCCTGAGGAGGCCTGTTGCTGTCTGGAGAGAGGGAGAGAGAGAGAGAGAGAGAGAGATATTAAGGATATTCGGGTGTGGAAGAAACACCCTCAAGAAAAAACAACTGAGCTTTTCTTGAGCAGCCCAGCAGCACCACGATGGAACTGTTACCCAAAGCCTGGTCCATGGAGGTGGAATTCAGTAGCAGCCTCGCTCTTTGTGGGTGCATGAATTCTTTTCTGCAGTTTTCAGACTGTCCCTAAGTATCTAGAGATGGGAATTTTTGACACAGGGTCCAGTCACAGTATTGTGCATTACAGTAAGTTCTTCTTTTTAACCATACTTCTCCCCTTATTCTCCCCCCCCATGACATTACTACAAGTTTTAATTTATTTTTTAACAAGCTTGAAATAAAAAAAGGGGAAAAAAGTGACTTTTTTGTATTTAATGAGTTCGCACACCGGAGGCAATATACTGTGCAAGTACAAACGGGAAGTGTTCCAGATGCCTCCTGTGCCCCAAAACCACATGTCTGGATGTGTCCGGAAAAGCCTGTACACAAATGCAGCCTGGAGTTAAGTGTACTTAAGCTACCTGGTGTGCCTTTCCCATTGGAACTTCTTACAGTGTTAACATAGGGGTGACAAGTCTCCCCATGGGGGATGGAGTGCTGCTCCCTGGCTTGTGCTGGGTTCCCAGGGTTGACAGTGCTGCCTGGAGAAGCCTGCTCCTGTCCCAGCCTGCTGCTTTGACACATGGTTTCTAGTGTGGCTCTGGATCTGTGCATCGAGCTCCTCCTGCGGCTGCTTCCCTGTGAGCAAAAGCTCCACACAGCAGAAACTTTGACATACAGTGCTGTGTGTGGGTCTTTAAATAACAGCCTTTATTGCTCATTATTTGCACAGCCACCTCACAGGAGAAAACATAAAGACAAAGCACATTGCAGGAAATGCTGATGCAGGCACAATTGCTCTGGCCTGACCAGCATAGTAAGAAAAAAAGACATGAGAATTTACAAGATGCAGATCCAAAACACTCTTGTATGGGTGACTAAAGGGCAACAGCCTGTGTTTCACAGAGCAGGACCATTTCCCTCCCTCTCTCAGACAACCATTTCCAGTTTGATTTGACATGAATAGCACCTAGGAGGGTAGAGCTGCATTGGAAGTCAGACAAGCTCTCCTCATATGCATAAATACAAATTCAGGTGCCAAACTTTGGACTCAAAAGAATTAAAACATAGTCACTACACTGGAAAGTACAAGCAGCACATGCCAGAAACAGCAGCACCACTGTGCATTAGGCCATGTTGGTGTCCCCCCCATGTTCCCAATTTTAAATAAGAGCCACACCTACCTGGAATAAACCAGTCTGACTCTCAAAGCATCAGCAGAAATTCCTTGTGGCCCAGAAAGAGCTGGACTAGCTCAAGTTTGTTGGTGATAATTTGTACCAGCTGCTGAGGACTGTGCTCTACAGGTGCTGACATTTACTGCAGCTCTAGTGAGTTTGAGAAGACCCTTCTCAGTCTCTTTTATATGGTGGCTGAATCCCTCGCTGTTTCCTTTCACAAGACGCTGCAGGCTACATTAGAAGCAGCCCTGCTTAAATTGAGAAACTATTTTCCCCTTCCAGGAAAAAATGGTCAGAAAGTACATCCTCTGGCTAACAATGCATTTTTAATCTATTTTGGTCTTGGATGACAGAGTGACAAATCTCTTTTACAGTTTTATAGATAAGTTTTACAAAAAGAAGAAACAAATAAAGAAGAAACCATAACACACCATGCACATGGAGAAACTCTGCACTAGTTAATCTAGCTGTTCTAGATTTACAGCTGTTTCTGAAGTTAGATCATTCACTAGTGTCTCTCATATCATGACCCAGTAAACTCCTCATTTCCAGCAGAGCACTTAACTGTGCAATTACCTGTTAGCTGTTTAATAGGACACATGATTTTAAATTAAACACTGACTTAATTGGTTTGCTGGACAGGCACAGACATTACAGCTTTAATAGCTTTTACTGAGTTGGGGTCTCAGCCAGTTCAAGGCAGCTGGGAGAAAGGGCCCATGACCTACTGTTACTGAAAGTTTCATGTCCACCTAGAAATTCATTGCAACAGTTTCTGCTATGCTCCCTGCTTGTTTCAGGGAGTCTTTAGAGAGAAGGCTGGAAAAGCAAGCTGCCAGTACTCACTGATAAAATGAGCCTCCTGAAGGTTTATGTCCTGACGCGATCGCATCGCCCGGCAGTGCTGTGCAGGGCCATCCGGCGGTGATCACACGACTGCAGAAGCAATTTGCCAGACAGCAAACTCAAAGCGTGTCCCTGTACTTTAGAGCAGTCCAGTTCAGCTCTGTGAACATCCCTCTGGCCATCCCCAGGAAGGGAGAAGCTGAATTAACAAGATGAATCCCACAGGCTGGAAACCTAGTAGCTTGCATATGAGTCACTATGTTGGGAAAGGTCAACAACAAATCCAGGTCAGTCTTACACTCCCTCCATTAAGAGGAGTTCTTGAGGAGCCACTGGCCTCCTCCGAGGTGATGCTATGGTACAATAGGGGACTCATTGCAGATGCCTCCACCTTGCTCCTGAGTGAACCTCACAGTGAGACTCAGGCACAGCCCAAAAGGAAGGTATGGCAATTGCCAACAGGTGGTGGTTTCAGCATCTTAATGTCTACTTAAGCCTTTCAAAGCTCAGCTGGGACTTAGCAAAGAAAAGAAAGGGAGCAAATGAAATGGGGGCTCAGGCTAAAAGGAAAACCAGACCTACATTTGCAGCCGATATCCACACTCCAATCGGTACCGTGGGACGTAGCAGAGAGCTCTTGACAGAGCCGCACACGGCAGCTCTGTGCAGCCTTCTGTGCTTCGGCAAAGCATCTGAACGCAGATGCTCTTCTGCCCTGGGAAAAAAATACATCTCACAAATCTAAACATGTCACCTCAAAGGGAAAACTATTTTATTATTAATGATACTATTAGTGCTGTTTTTCCAATAGACTGAGGAGATTAAATAATAGGATCTAAAAACTAACCAAATGTTCAGATCAAACTAGCGAGAAGACATACAGACACACAAACTTTGCAGTGACTTAAAACAGTTTAATGTAATTCCAAGACAAAGTGTGATTACATTTCTACACATATACAATATGCATATGTGAGTTGACAAATTCTGATTAATAACTCGTTTCACCTCAGAGACCGAAAAAATGATCAAAAAGAAACCGTGAATAACAAGCTATAACATAGTTCACCACAACGGGACCTCCTTTCTCACCCTACAGTTAGTAATATTACAATTAAAATAACTATATTCTTCTATAATGTATTTTCTGTTAAAATCATCTCATAAATTTACAATGCTATTATTAGTTTCCAAGACTAATATAAATTCACTCCATTTTTCTACAACGAAAATGATTATTAATTAGAAGCACACAACGTCATGATGAAAAACACAAGCATTTTCTTTTTTTTAGTAGCAAGAACTTGATTGGTTAAGAATTAGTTTTCTTGTAAAACATTCTAAAGCCAAGTAAAATATCCATTCTTATTACATACCTATAATATGAGACTAAGGAATAGGTTACATATAGGTCTACAACACATCAGTTTGTTTTTGTTTTTTCTTTAAAAAGAAGAAAGACGTATTACTAAAAGAAAAAAAAAGAAAAAA